TGTCCTTGTCTCTGGTCTTCCCCGGTCCCTCCCTCCCCTTCCTCCGGGGCCTGCCCCTACCTGCATCCCCTGTGTCGAGGGGCGGCAGCGTGCTGCCCCTCACTCCTCCCAGTTTCCTCCGACAGAGGCCCCGCTGCAGACGCTTCACATGGACGTGTGGGGCCAAGCCCGCGTCCGTGGACAGGGTCACGAGCGCTACTTCCTGCTGGTGGTTGATGACTATCGCGTTACACCACAGTCTTCCCCTTGCGCAGCAAGGGTGATGTCACTGAGGTGTTGATCGACTGGATCCGCGCAGCTTGTCTCAAGCACTGGAAGAGTTTCGGCTCGGACTTTCCTGTTCTGCGTTTGCACTCCGATAGAGGCGGAGAGTTCTCCTCTGGCCTTCTGCAAGCCTACTGTCGTGCACGAGGCATCCGCCAGACCTTCACGCTTCCGGACTCTCCACAGCAAAATGGGATTGTTGAGCGCCGCATTGGCATGGTCATGGACGTCGCCCGTACGTCCATGATGCATGCGGCTGCCCCCCATTTTCCGTGGCCGTTTGCGGTTCGGTACGCGGCGCATCACATCAACCTTCACCCCAGGGTCTCCATGTCGGAGACCTCCTCAGCTTTGCTGTGGACGGGGAAGGTTGGCGATGCGTCTGCGTTCCGTGTCGGGGGATCTCAAGCGTTTGTCCGCGACTTGTCTGCGGACAAGCTGTCCCTTCGTGCTGCTCCCTGCGTCTTCCTTGGCTTCCCCCCTGACGCACCAGGGTGGCAGTTCTACCACCCCACCTCTCGCCGTGTTCTGTCCTCCCAGGACGTCATGTTTGACGAGTCGGTCCCCTACTACCGTCTCTTCCCCGACCGCACTCCGTTCCTCCCCCCGCCACCGCTCTTCCTTGTGCCAGGTCCCCCCCCGGTAGACCCCCTTCCCCCTCAGGGTCCTGCCCCTTCAGGTGTGTCCCAGGTAGACGCACTCGAGCCTGTGGAGGTCGCTGGTGATTCTGGTGCTGCTGAGGGTGCTGAGCCCGGGGGTGCTGACTCTGGGGGTGCTGAGCGTCAGGGTGCTACGCCTGGGGGTACTGAGCCTGGGGGTGGTGAGCCTGAGGGTGCTACGACTGGGGGTACTGAGCTTGGGGGTGCTGAGTCTGGGGGTGCTGAGCCTGGGGGTGCTACGACTGGGGATGCTGAGCCTAGGGGTGCTACGCGTGGAGGTGCTGAGCCTGGGGGTGCGGAGCCTGAGGGAGCTAGGCCTTCTCGTGTGGCGTCTGGCGGTGCTGGGCCTAGAGGTTCTCCGGGTGCTCCGTCTCAACGGGAGCCACTCTCTCCATAGGAGGTGCGTGAGTGGTTTGCCCGGCGCTGGAGGCGTGCTTCTGGAGCTGGAGGTTCTTCGGCTGCTGAGGGTGCTGGTGCCACGGGTCCCAGAGGTGTTCGTACAGGGAGTACTGGAGCTGCTGGGCCTGCGGGTACTACTGGAGCTGGAGCCACTGCGTCTTCTCGTGGTCCGACTGGAGCTGGAGCTGCTGAGGGTGTTGGCGCTGGCAGTATTGGAGGCGGTCCTGCTAGGGGTACTAATGGTGCTGCTAGAGGTCCTGGAGCTACTCGAGCTGCTGGGGGTACTGGAGCTGGAGGTGCTGCTGGCGCTGGTGCTACCGCTGGGGGTGCTGGAGCTGTCCCTGCTGTGTCTAGAGTCGCTGCGCGGCCTCGGCCGTACTTCGTTCCGCTCCTTGAGCAGGTTCTTGGTCTCCCGCCTTCTACTGGCCCTCCTTCTCCCTTCGAGTGTCCACAGCCTGTCTCGTCAGAGTTACAGTTACAGCTGGCCTCCCCAATGCCTGCTCCTTCTCCCTACACTGGTCCTAATGGAGGTCTAGCTGAGCGTCGTGAGCCTGCGTCTCGTCCTGCGTTGCCTGTCCATGCTGCTCACACTAGTGGTCGTGGATCGCGTCCGCGTCCTCCCCCTATGCCCGGCACGCACCGGATGTCTCTCCGTCCGTCCACTGCTCCTCTGCGTGCCCCTTTGCCTTCTCCTCCTGAGTCCTCTCTTCCTGCTTTTGCTGACCCAGAGTCGGACTCCCTTCGTGCTGCCAGTCCGACTGTCAAGCGTCTCCTTGCTACGGTTGTCACTGAACCTTCCTTTGCGTCCATTGCTGCGTCTGCCCTAGTTGCTGAGCTCGTCGACATTGCTGCTCGCTGTCGTCTAGACTACGCTGCTAATCTTGTTGCAGGGTCTGTGTCTGTCTGTCCTCCGTCCGTCGGGGGTGAGTGTGCCCTTGGCACGGACGTCCTTGAGGACAGGCAGGAGGAGTTCCAGTTTTTGGCTGCTGCTTCACCTCATCTCGTGTCTGTGAGCTGCGCAGCTACCTTGGCTTGCAGATCACCCGGGACAGAGCACGCCGCACCATTACCCTGACTCAGTCACACATGGTGCAGCAGGTCCTTCAGCGCTTCGGCTTCACGTACTCCTCGCCTCAGGCCACTCCTCTGCCTACTCGCCACTCGCTCTCAGCTCTGCCTTCGGATGAGTCCGTAGAGTCGAGTGGCCCGTACCCAGAGCTTGTTGGCTGCCTCATGTACCTGATGACCTGCACACGACCTGACCTTGCATACCCTCTTAGCATTCTCGCACGCTATGTTGCTCCTGGGAGACACAGACCGGAGCACATGGCTGCAGCGAAGAGGGTGTTGCGCTACTTGTGCTGTACGTTGCGCATGGGGCTTGTGCTTGGAGGGCAGAGTCCAGTGGTCCTCACTGGGCACGCAGACGCTTCTTGGGCTGATGACCAGGCTACGCAGCGGTCGTCACAGGGTTACACCTTCAGCCTTGGTTCCGGCTCTGTCTCGTGGCGGGCTACTCGCTCGTCTTCTGTTCTCGGCTCCAGTTGTGAGGCTGAGATCTACGCAGGAGCCATGGCTGCACAGGAGCTTCGCTGGCTCACCTACCTGCTGACTGACCTCGGAGAGCCGCCTCGTTCTCCTCCAGTGCTGTACGTAGACAACAAAGCCATGCTGGCCTTGTGTTGGGAGCAGAGACTGGAGCACAGAACAAAGAACATTGCTCTTCGCTACTTCCTTGCTCGTGAGCTACAGTAGCGTTGTGAGCTGCGCCTTGCGTACGTGGCCTCTTAGGCCAACACTGCTGATATCTTCACCAAGGCACTTGCGCCTTGTGATCATCAGCGCTTCTGTACTCAGCTCGGTCTTGTGCCTACCTTGCCTCACTTGCTCACCCCTTGACCTTGTTTGTACTGTTACATATATATATACACCTGCTCTTGCTTGTTTAGCCTTATATATGTATGTAATCCTGCATGTGAACTGGCCTTGTGGCCTTGAACTTGTGCTCGGAATGTGTGGTGACGTTGTGATCCACCCTGAGCTTGTTTTGCTTTGCTTGACTGGTCTTGTGACCCCTTGTCCTCCCCCACTTTGCCTATGGGGGTGTGTCAGATTTATATGACTCAGTTGCTGTAGGCTATAGTGGGGTAGCACATATGGGGTATAGCTTTTTAGGGTTTGTACTTATACCCAACTTTCCCTTAGTCTTTTCATTCTCGTTCAATTTCACAATCTCATACACTAAAAAAATGCTTGGGTTACCTTGTATTTGGGGAGGTTTTGGGTGTCTTATGTCTTATAAATGGAAACCTTTTTAAAATACTTAGAAATATTTTCCCACATCTTGAAAATAGTCTCTCATTAAGAGTGTAGATGGTTCAAAGGTGCCACTTCGGCAACCATTGTTCGGGACGCCACCTCATCCCGAATGAGGCAAATTTGGTAGTACGTGAGTCAGCACGTGGTAGAATTCGCGTGTCGCAAGGGTAAAGATGTACGCGGCATTTCAATTTTCACTATAATACATGCAGTTTCGATTATAAGACACATGTCTTATCTCGTACACACAAATAGGTGTCGTATAAAAATGCTAGCCTGTTTATAAGAGACACCCGTATAATAGACAGCCCCTGTCTATTATTCAACACTGTCTCATATCCGGGCGATGACGGTATGTAGTGTGGCGCGATGTAAGGAAAAACCTTTTCCTTACAATTATCTCTTGCATGACCTCTACCCTTTGTTACATTCGCAATGTCGCTTTCCTCGCACATCCAATAGCGGCCCTGCCGATTTTGTCGCACGCAAACCACTCATTGAACCAACGGATTCCCCTTCACCCATGCGGCGGGCGGAGCTAAGCTGGACTTGCTCCGCCTTTCCCCGGCCATTACCCTCCGCCAGCCCCCTGCTTCCGCCAGCCTTCGCCCTCCGCGACGCACCCTCGGCACACGACTCCCTCCCGCCCGCTGGTGAGTCATGGCGAACGAGATCGATCTTCCCTGGTGGTAACCCGCCCGCCACTCCCTCTGTCGCTGTTTTCTCCATCCATCTCTTCTCTGTCCCTTCATGTCTTGTCTCACCCTTTCCCGCCATAAACATCCCATTTCGAGACACGCCACTGCCGTTGCTGCCACGCCACCTGTGCTTCGTCGCTCATCGTTCGGACCCACGTCGCGTGCGAGTGGGGTAGGGCCAGCAGGGGAATTCAGATTGCGCGCTGCCTGCAATTGTGTGCGGAAAGCATCATCCTTGACCGGCCTAGGGCGTCGATTCGAGAGGCGCCGCCGTCGCCTGTGCTCGCTACCTGTTCACGTTTGCTGCGCTCCAAGAGTCTAAGACGCAAGACCCTCTTTTTACAACTCTCGATGTATAAAAGCTCGATATAGATAAGATCCTCGAGATAGGACCCTCGATACACGATTCTCGAGATAGGACCCTCAATACACGATTCTCGATATAGGACCCTCGTTATAGGAATCTTCATATGCTACCGTTGATATACGTCCCTCTATTTACGCCTCTGAATGTAGGATTCTTGCTTTAGGTTCTTCGATATACGACCCGCGGTGTAGACCGTCAATTCTACGTGCTAACGCTTCCTTTACTGCAATGTGCGTGCAACGGCTGTAATCGCGCGGGCAGCGACGTGCCTCACGACTCCCCGCGCGCGCCGCCATGGGGTCCGCGGAGGAGGCGGGGGGGCGGCATGTGGACCTCCGCCGAGCGGCTTCGGCGGGCGTGCTGCAGGCGGAGGACCGCGCGCACGCCGCGGCGGAGGCGCTGCAGCAGCACCGCGCGGACCAGCAGCAGCAGCAGCCGGCGGCGCGCGCGCTGCCGGGGTGGTCGACGCGGCTGATCGACTACTTCGTGGTGTGCGGGCTGGGCGCGGAGGTGCGCACCATGGACGGGCAGCGCGGCTTCCACGGCGTGACGGCGCGCGACGGTGACCCCATGCTGTACCAGCCGCAGATGACGCCGCTTGACTTCTACCCGCCCAAGGAGCACAAGAAATTCGGCGTCCCCGAGGGGCTCCCCATGGTGCGCCGCTCCCGCCCTCCGCCGCCTGCCCATGTTGCGCGCCAATCCCTCCCCGCTCTTCGCGCCCCGTCGCCCCTCGCCCCATCTTTGGCCGTTGGCATGGGATGGCTTCCTGTGGTTCCCCTCGTCATGTCTCAACCACCCCCTCCCTCTCACCCCTTTCCTCACTCCTTCCCGTTCCCGTTTCCCCCCTTCCCTGCTTCTGTTTCTCCCGCCCTCCCTCCGTCTCTCCCCTCTTTCGAGCCCCGTCTTTGCTCGCCTCCCCTCGTCTCGCCTCGCCTCGACTCGCCTTGCCTCCTCTCCCCTCCTCTGCCCTCCCCTCCCCACCCCTCCCCTCCCCTCCCCTCCCCTCCCTCCTTCCCCCCCTCCCCTCTTCTCCCCTCTCCGCTCCCCTCTCCTCCCCTCCCTCCCCTCCGCTCCCCTCCCCTCTCCTCCTCTCCCCTCCCCTCTCCTCCTCTCCCCTCCTCTCTCATCCGTTCCGTCCCCACCCCTCGCCTCGCCTCCCCTCTCCTCTGCCCCCCTCGCCTCGCCTCCCCTCTCCTCTTCCCCCCTCGCCTCGCCTCCCCTCTCCTCTTCCCCCCTCGCCTCGCCTCCCCTCTCCTCTTCCCCCCTCGCCTCGCCTCCCCTCTCCTCCCCTCCCCCCTCGCCTCCCCTCCCCACGCCTCCCCTCCCCTCCCCCCGCTCCCCCCCCTCCCCCCCACCCCTCCCCTCTCCGCGTCGCATTCCCTCTCCCCCCACGGCCGCGCAGGTGGTGATGCCGCGGGGCCTGCGCTTCTACGAGAGAGGGCCGTTCTCGGGTGACAAGAGCACTCAGCCGCGCTCCTACCCCATGGTCATCACCGGTGGGTGGGTGGATCATCACAGGTGGGTGGGTCATCACAGGTGGGTGGGTCATCACCGGTGGGTGGGTCATCACAGGTGGGTGGGTCATCACAGGTGCACGGGCAGCACAAGTAATGGCATAAGGCATTTGGAGCACCATCCAATGAATAATCGAACCTAGCATCGTGGACCCTGGAGTGCATGTCAAAGTTAACCGAGCCTAGCAGCGTGGTGTGGTGGTTGCCATTTGGCTCGTTATGGTTTCATGTTCAGATTCGAGTGAGCATGGAATACGAGGCACTTGAGTCTCACGGGCCCTCCAGCATCACACCCATCCACGCCCGTTACCCTGTAACACAGCATGCACTGCAGCTCTCGCACATTTGGCCCATGATGGGATGGGATGGGATGCGTTTGGATGAGATGGGATGGGATGGGATGGGATGGGATGGGATGGGATGGGATGGGATGGGATGGGATGGGATGGGATGGGATGGGATGGGATGGGATGGGATGCGTTGCCACTTGCTTGCTGCTCTCTCCCCACACCAAGCTCCTCCCCCTTCCCAATGTTCCTGCGCTACCCCCTTCTCCCCTCCCCTCCCATCCCCCTTTGTCGCAGACACGGTGGGCACCAAGGTGTATGTGACGGTGGTGGCATTCCGGGACCCCATGGACGAGGAGAGGAGTTGATTTGAAACTCACCTTAACCACACCAACCTCTCCCCTCCCCCCAACCCCTTGTTGCGCACCCCTTCCCCACACCCCCCGCACCCCTTCCCCGCGCCCCTTCCCCGCGCCCCTTCCCCGCGCCCCTTCCCCGTGCCCCTCTCTCCCCCCTGTCCCTATCACCCAGACACGGTGGGCACCAAGGTGTATGTGACGGTGGTGGCGTTCCGTGACCCGGTGGAGGAGGACGTGGCGGAGGCGTGGGGCATCCCCGCCTCGCACTACGTGGACAAGTGCCTGTGCCTCGTGTCGCACTGGCCCTTCTTCCACACCTTCACCCAGGCGCTCGAGGAGATCCACCGCATGTGCTTCTGCACCGCCGGCTGCACGTGAGGCTGTAGGGAGGGGGGGTCAATGGGGGGTCAACGGGGGGTCAATGGGGTCAATGGCAGGCCGTTGGAGAGGAGATCCACCGCATGTGCTTCTGCACTGCTGGCTGCACGTGAAACGGTAGGGAGAGGGGGTCAATGGGGTCAATTGGGGCAAGTGGGGGCAACGGGGCCAATCAGCAGTGGATGCGTGTCTGTCAGTGGGGTCAATGTGGTGACCACATTGTGGCAGAGGGATGAGAGGGGTGAAATGGGGTCCAAGGTGGGGCAGGCCGTGCCTTCATGGCGCCACTATACATGGCCCCAAGATTGCCCTGTGCTGCACGTATGCACCCCTCATCCATCCACCTCTTGCCTCCTCCCTCCTCCCCCACCTCCCCCCCACAGGCAGCCGGTGTGGGAGCTGGTGCAGCATCTGGTCACAGCAGTGCCGCTGCCCGACCCCGGCCGGCGATCGGTGGTGTTTTCTGTGGAGAAGTGCCTGCTCTTCTGCGAGGCGCCGCCGCCCGCCACGCTGCCCGCCGTGCAGGTGCGCCACACAGGGGGGATATGGGGTGAATGGGGAGATGCTGGGCATGCAGTCATGGGGGGCGGAGCCTGAGGGCATGGGGGTATGCACCACTACTGCCTGAGGGCATGGGGGTATGCACCACTACTGCCTGTGTGCGTAATGGGGGCACAGGAGTTTGTGAGACTTGATGGGGCATCGTGAGGGAGGGGTGATGGTCATGGGCAGTGAGAGGATGTGACTGTTTTAGCAGAACTGCACTTGGGTGGGTGGGTGGGTGGGTGGGTCTCTCAGGATGAGTCACTCCCATTCCAGTGCATCACCCACCCACGCTTTCTTCCACCTCCTCTCCGCCCTCTTATCACAAAACTGCCACCCCGTCCGTTTTCACCTGATTGCCTTTTTCTACCCCCCATGCCACTTCCCCATGTGCTCCCGTGTGTGTGTGGTGTTGCTGCATCCACACGGCGTGGCACGGCCCATCAGCTGTCGTTCCACCTGTTGGTGCGCAGTCTGCACGCGGACAACGTCATTCTGCTCGTGTTAACCTCGGTGCATTGTGCTTCCTCCCCTGCCGCTCCCCCATGTGCTCCCATATGTGTGCTGTGGTGCGACTAACCGGTGGCACGGCGGGGCGTACCAGTTGTCGTTCCACCCGCTGGTGCGCAGCCTGGACGTGGACAACATCATTCTGCTCGTCACCGCCGTGCTGCTCGAGAAGCGCATCCTCCTCCGCGCCACCCAGTGAGTGCCCCGCCCGCCCGCCCGCCCGCTCGGTCAGTGCGCCCACCTCGCCTCAGCCACGCACGTGACAGCCACCCACTGGGAGAGTCTCGGAGAAGCCACCCGGTGTGGTGCGGTGCGTGCTGGGGAAGGCACCACGGCTGTTGCCCTGCCCTCCACTTTTCTCAACTGTGACCTCGCCTCCCTGCTGCTCGCCTCCCTGCTGCTCGCCTCCCTGCTGCTCGCCTCCCTGCTGCTCGCCTCCCTGCTGCTTGCGCATCCCCACCCCCTCCCACTTCTCATTGCCACGCCACGACCCTCCCTGTGTGGCGCTGCAGGTACGAGCTGCTGACGCTGGTGGCGGAGTCGGTGTCTCACCTCATCTACCCCTTCAAGTGGGCGGTGAGCAACCGCACCGCACCGCACTGCACCGGCACACTGCACCGCACTACCATGCATGTGCTTGGGAGGACACACTTACATAACATACATAACATTACATGCATGCATGCATGCATGCATAGATACATTATACATACATACATGCATGCATGCATAGATTCATTATACATACATACATGCATGCATGCATCCCCCATCCCTCACTCCCCCCTATCCCCCCATCGCCCCCCCCTGCCCCCTGCAGTACCCCTACACGCCCGTGCTGCCACTCAACAAGCTGGAGCTCGTGCACATGCCAGGAAGCTTCCTCTTCGGCATTGTGCCCACGAGGTGGACGGACCACGACCTACCAGGCGGGGTGAGTGCGAGGGTCACTCCCCGGGCCACACACCTCTGCCTTGGGGCTCCCCCCTGCATCCACCCTTAAGCGTTCACGGGTCAGGGTTTGGAGAAGGGAGGTTGAGGGTGGAGGGTTGTGTGCAGTGCAGTGCAGTGCAGTGCAGTGCAGTGCAGTGCAGTGTGGATGGCGGGCCATGCCCTGGCATGCCACGCTCCCTGCGTGTCATGGCATGGCATGGCATGGCATGGCAGCATCTGATGGGGGCAGATCCATCGACGGCCCCATGCCTACTCTCATGCACCTTCCCTCTGCTGTCCCACTCGCCCATCATCATCGTGTGATGCTGCTCACCCATGCGCGCCCAACCTTTCTCCCCCCCCATTTCCCCCTGTCGCCCCCGTCGTGTGTGTGTGCGTGTGTGTGTGTGTGTGTGTGTTGTGTGTGTGCGTGTGTGTGTGTGTGTGTTATGTGTGTGCGTGTGTGTGTGTGTGTGTGCGTGTGTGTGTGTGTGTGTGTGTGTTGTGTGTGTGCGTGTGTGTGTGTGTGTGTTATGTGTGTGCGTGTGTGTGTGTGTGTGTGCGTGTTGTGTGTGTGCGTGTGTGTGTGTGTGTTGTGTGTGTGCGTGTGTGTGTGTGTGTGCGTGTGTGTGTGTGTGTGTGTTGTGTGTGTGCGTGTGTGTGTGTGTTGTGTGTGTTTGTGTGTGTGTGTGTGTTGTGTGTGTGTGCGTGTGTGTGTGTGTGTGTGCGTGTGTGTGTGTGTGTGTTGTGTGTGTGCGTGTGTGTGTGTGTGTCTGTTGTGTGTGTGCGTGTGTGTGTGTGTGTGTGTTGTGTGTGTTGTGTGTGTGTGTGTGTGGTGTGTGTGTGCGTGTGTGCGTGTGTGTGTGTGTGTGTGCGTGTGTGGCCCTGTGTGTGCATGGCAGGTGATGGTGGTGGACCTGGACGCCAACCGCATCGCCATCACCACCAGCGGCTACGACGACGATGGAGACACCATTCCCCCGCTGCCCGAGCCCGAGAACGCGCAGGTGCGTGCCCTGGGGGGTAAGGGGAGAGGAAGGTGAGGGGATCTATGAGGGTTGCAATTTTTGCCGCCCTCTACTGTATTAATCCCCTCCCTCACTCACCCGAGCCTGCAGGTTCGGGAGGCGTTGCTGCAGCTGGTGGCGCCGGACCTGATGGCGTTGGACCAGGCGCGCACACGCGACTTCAGCTGCGACCTGCACAAGTTCAGACGGCCCTGGGGGCGCCTGCACGACCGCGAGATCCGGTGAGGGGGGGGGTGGGGAGAGGGAAGGGAAAGAGAGATGTTGTGTGGTGAGGCGATGATGTGTGATGGTGGTGAGGTGATGATGTATGATGGTGGTGAGGTGATGATGTATGATGGTGGTGAGGTGATGATGTATGATGGTGGTGAGGTGATGATGTATGATGGTGGTGAGATGATGTATGATGGTGGTGAGGTGATGATGTATGATGGTGGTGAGGTGATGATGTATGATGTTGGTGAGGTGATGATGTATGATGGTGGTGAGGTGATGATGTATGATGTTGGTGAGGTGATGATGTATGATGGTGGTGAGGCTTAGTTGGTACTTTACGTTTTTTTGGGTCACGTAAACGTAAACTTACGCTTGAGTTTACCTTTACGTTTTCTTACGCGTAATTTTACGTAAAGTCGCACGGGCAGGGCAAAAAAAAGTTTTTTTGCCCGCGAAACGAAAAAATCTGACTGATATGAGGTGGGAGAGGCTGCTACATGTTTGTGTAGATTTGGGGCATCTGTAAGTTGATGTAATAATGTGCTAACATGCTTGGGCGTAGAAGAACCAAGCTAGTGATAGATTAGGCGCTTCCCATGCAGCCACTTAGTCCGATGATTTCTTATATTTCCGGGCAGTTAGAACTGTTTCTAGCTGACCGTAAACGTAAAGCCATTTTTAGCCCACGTAAGTAAACGTAAGTTTACTACGTAAAGTCACGTAAACGTAAACCACCGTAAACGTACAATACCAACTATGGTGAGGTGATGATGTATGATGGTGGTGAGGTGATGATGTATGATGGTGGTGAGGTGATGATGTATGATGGTGGTGAGGTGATGATGTATGATGGTGGTGAGGTGATGATGTATGATGGTGGTGAGGTGATGATGTATGATGGTGGTGAGGTGATGATGTATGATGGTGGTGAGGTGATGATGTATGATGGTGGTGAGGTGATGATGTATGATGGTGGTGAGGTGATGATGTATGATGGTGGTGAGGTGATGATGTATGATGGTGGTGAGGTGATGATGTATGATGGTGGTGAGGTGATGATGTATGATGGTGGTGAGGTGATGATGTATGATGGTGGTGAGGTGATGATGTATGATGGTGGTGAGGTGATGATGTATGATGGTGGTGAGGTGATGATGTATGATGGTGGTGAGGTGATGATGTATGATGGTGGTGAGGTGATGATGTATGATGGTGGTGAGGTGATGATGTATGATGGTGGTGAGGTGATGATGTATGATGGTGGTGAGGTGATGATGTATGATGGTGGTGAGGTGATGATGTATGATGGTGGTGAGGTGATGATGTATGATGGTGGTGAGGTGATGATGTATGATGGTGGTGAGGTGATGATGTATGATGGTGGTGAGGTGATGATGTATGATGGTGGTGAGGTGATGATGTATGATGGTGGTGAGGTGATGATGTATGATGGTGGTGAGGTGATGATGTATGATGGTGGTGAGGTGATGATGTATGATGGTGGTGAGGTGATGATGTATGATGGTGGTGAGGTGATGATGTATGATGGTGGTGAGGTGATGATGTATGATGGTGGTGAGGTGATGATGTATGATGGTGGTGAGGTGATGATGTATGATGGTGGTGAGGTGATGATGTATGATGGTGGTGAGGTGATGATGTATGATGGTGGTGAGGTGATGATGTATGATGGTGGTGAGGTGATGATGTATGATGGTGGTGAGGTGATGATGTATGATGGTGGTGAGGTGATGATGTATGATGGTGGTGAGGTGATGATGTATGATGGTGGTGAGGTGATGATGTATGATGGTGGTGAGGTGATGATGTATGATGGTGGTGAGGTGATGATGTATGATGGTGGTGAGGTGATGATGTATGATGGTGGTGAGGTGATGATGTATGATGGTGGTGAGGTGATGATGTATGATGGTGGTGAGGTGATGATGTATGATGGTGGTGAGGTGATGATGTATGATGGTGGTGAGGTGATGATGTATGATGGTGGTGAGGTGATGATGTATGATGGTGGTGAGGTGATGATGTATGATGGTGGTGAGGTGATGATGTATGATGGTGGTGAGGTGATGATGTATGATGGTGGTGAGGTGATGATGTATGATGGTGGTGAGGTGATGATGTATGATGGTGGTGAGGTGATGATGTATGATGGTGGTGAGGTGATGATGTATGATGGTGGTGAGGTGATGATGTATGATGGTGGTGAGGTGATGATGTATGATGGTGGTGAGGTGATGATGTATGATGGTGGTGAGGTGATGATGTATGATGGTGGTGAGGTGATGATGTATGATGGTGGTGAGGTGATGATGTATGATGGTGGTGAGGTGATGATGTATGATGGTGGTGAGGTGATGATGTATGATGGTGGTGAGGTGATGATGTATGATGGTGGTGAGGTGATGATGTATGATGGTGGTGAGGTGATGATGTATGATGGTGGTGAGGTGATGATGTATGATGGTGGTGAGGTGATGATGTATGATGGTGGTGAGGTGATGATGTATGATGGTGGTGAGGTGATGATGTATGATGGTGGTGAGGTGATGATGTATGATGGTGGTGAGGGTGCCGGGGGCCGCCTGCACGCCCGTGAGATCCGGTGAGGCCAGGCCGCCAGGGGAAGACGTGCGGTGACTTGGTTGGTGGAGGAGGTATGAGAGTGGGCGTGATGGCTGCTGTGCAGGGCTGTGCTGTGCTGTTGTGTCGTGTGGCCGTGCTGCCCTCGCTCTCCACCGCCTGCCTCCTCACTCTCTTGCCTCCCTGCCCTCCCCTCCCTGCCCTCCCCTCCCTGCCCTCCCCTCCTTGCCTACGTGGAGAAAGACGCGTCCTGCGTCTAGGACGCTTGCGTCCAGACGCAGCGTCTTAGACGCAGGACGCTAGAGGAGGGCCTTTAGGACGCATGAAAAGACGCATGCCCGGGCAGGGCAAAAAAACCCCCGGGCAGCCGAAAAATGATGTCCTATGTATGGGAAGGGGGGGGGGGGGGGGGATGACGATGCACACATTTGAGGCAAAAACGTCCCCTTCGTATTTTCAGGGTTTGGGGTTTACGAAGGAGAATTGTCTTGGTAAACCCTCTAGGGTGTTTTTGATGGTCGAAATGGGTTAGGGGGGGCGACATGACGCGAAATTGACAGTCGCGTCGAAACCCTCGAAGTCAATTTCGCGCTGAGGCAATTTTTTTTTACCGGTCAGCCCGAAAAAAAAATCAGGGTGCGTCCTGCGTGTGGACGCGCGTCCTGCGTCTCTGCGTCTAGACGCTGCGTCCAGACGCAGGACGCAGCAGGACGCGTGCGTCTTTCTCCACTTAGCTCCTTGCCCTCCCCTCCCTGCCCTCCCCTCCCTGCCCTCCCCTCCCTGCCCTCCCGCCCCGCCCGCCAGATTAATCTTCTTTCGCTTCTTCGCCTCCATCCTCTGCAGCTACAGACATTTTGTGGTACGTTGCGGTGTGATGCGGTGTTGTGCAGTATGATGAGGTGCCAGCAGTATGATGGGGTGCCATGCAGTATGATGAGGTGCCATGCAGTATGATGGGGTGCCATGCAGTATGATGAGGTGCCATGCAGTATGATGAGGTGCCATGCAGTATGATGGGGTGCCATGCAGTATGGTGAGGTGCCATGCAGTATGATGAGGTGCCATGCAGTATGATGGGGTGCCATGCAGTATGATGAGGTGCCATGCAGTATGATGGGGTGCCATGCAGTATGATGAGGTGCCATGCAGTATGATGAGGTGCCATGCAGTATGATGAGGTGCCATGCAGTATGATGAGGTGCCATGCAGTTGCTGCAGTGCCACGCGGTGCCATGTGGTATGGAGCTGTTTCTTCTGGTTGCCGTGTTGGTTGCTCAAGCCATGCCGGTGGCGCTATCCCCTGCATAACTGCCTCCCATGCTGCCGCATGCGTGCTCCATGCTCGTGTGCTGCATACTCATTTGCTGCACGGCACCCACTGGGCTGTGTCACCTGCATCTGCGCACTTCGTCTCCCCACTCCGCCTCTCTGTTCACCCGGTCCACTCCCTCTACCCCCTTGCCCCCCTCGCCCTCTGTGCTCTCTGACCTCACAGGGCAAGGTGGTGGAGCCATCGGCGCACGTCAATTCCATTTTGAGACGTCTCAAAAGTCACCGTCTCTCCGCTCATCCCATCCCGCCCTCGCCCCCTGTGCTGTGGCCGCACAGGACAAGGTGGTGGAGCCGTCAGGCCACGTCAAGTCGACGTTCAACAAGGCCAGCTTCTTCCGCAAGCGAGCCAAGGTCACCGGCAACACCGACGAGCCCCTCGTGAGTGCCACGCAGGAGGAAGGGGCTCTCATCAGTGCACAGCCGTCTTCGGTGCCGTGCATTGGGCGTCACACACAGTCATGCACGCTGCACTTGGATACCTCCTCTCCAAGCAAGCACCACATCAACCCCTTCACACACACCCCTCCACGCCCCTCCCTGCACATCTCCCCACCTGCACATGACAGATATCGCAGCTGCTGCACACGCAGTGCTGGCAGCAGTTCCTGGACGGCAGCAGCAGCGGCGTGGCGTCATTCTTCGACCGTGCGCTGGTGGAGCTGGAGGCGCTCGACATCGCCACCGGCCCCGCCATGGCGTCTGTGGACCTCGCTGATGATGACGGGGCGCCCGAGATCGTCACCGTGCCGCCGCCCACGCCCAAAGGTGTGCGTGAGTGCGATTGGGGGGGATGGGGGGGCAGAGGGGGATGGCGTGGCAGGCAGGCAGCAGGCAGCAAGCAGCGACACAGTCTCCCTGTTCGACCGTGCGCTGGTGGAGCTGGAGGCGCTCGACGTCGCCACCGGCCCCGCCGTGGCCTCTGTTGACTTCGCCCGAGATCGTCACCGTGCCGCCGCCCACGCCTAAAGGTGCGCGCCTGTGCACCTGGACTGGAGGGTGTTTCTGTGCAGTTGGGGGGTGTGGCGAGCAAGGCAGTAGGCAGTAGGCTGCAGTGGTGACGGCTCGTGTGCTGTGAGAGAGCAACCAGTTCTCGTGTGCTGTGAGAGAGCAACCAGTTCTCGTGTGCTGTGAGAGAGCAACCAGTTCTCGTGTGCTGTGAGAGAGCAACCAGTTCTCGTGTGCTGTGAGAGAGCAACCAGTTCTCGTGTGCTGTGAGAGAGCAACCAGTTCTCGTGTGCTGTGAGAGAGCAACCAGTTCTTGTGTGCCGTGAGAGAGCAACCAGTTCTCGTGTGCTGTGAGAGAGCAACCAGCTCTCGTGTGCTGTGAGAGAGCAACCAGTTCTCGTGTGCTGTGAGAGAGCAACCAGTTCTCGTGTGCTGTGAGAGAGCAACCAGTTCTCGTGTGCTGTGAGAGAGCAACCAGTTCTCGTGTGCTGTGAGAGAGCAACCAGTTCTCGTGTGCTGTGAGAGAGCAACCAGTTCTTGTGTGCCGTGAGAGAGCAACCAGTTCTCGTGTGCTGTGAGAGAGCAACCAGTTCTCGTGTGCTGTGAGAGAGCAACCAGTTCTCGTGTGCTGTGAGAGAGCAACCAGTTCTCGTGTGCTGTGAGAGAGCAACCAGTTCTTGTGTGCCGTGAGAGAGCAACCAGTTCTCGTGTGCTGTGAGAGAGCAACCAGTTCTCGTGTGCTGTGAGAGAGCAACCAGTTCTCGTGTGCTGTGAGAGAGCAACCAGTTCTCGTGTGCTGTGAGAGAGCAACCAGTTCTGCTTTGCGCGCTCTCTCCCAAGGGCAGAGCGGGCAGGGGTGCGGTACTCGCACCGGGCGTTCCCTCATGGAGCGCAGTGCAGAGGAGAAGCAGCTTTTGAGACGCCCCGAAATCCCTCTGTCCCGCTCCTAACACACTCCCCACCCCGTTCCATTCTCCCCACCATGGCAGAGCGGGCGGGGGGGCGGTACACGCACCGGGCGTTCCCGTCGTTGGAGCGCAGTGCGGAGGAGAAGCAGCGGCGCTACGAGTTCCTGCAGCAGGTGCGCCTCGCCGCTGACGCCCAACACAACTCCGAGGCGCGCCGCGTCGTCAGGTGAGCTGCGGTGCTGTGCGGTGTGTGATGAGGCGGCCGTGGCAGATGTGAAGCAGCACAGTGGGGCGTGCCGCATGGGGAGGTGCTGGGCGTGCAAGTGGGACATTGCACAGCAGTGCGTGGGTGGGTGGTGACGTGCTGTGCAGTTGTACTGCTGGGGGAGGGGCAGGTTGGAGGGGGAATGGGCACAGCAGTTGTGAGGGGGTGGGGTGGGGGGGCAGGGCACGTCAATCTTGAGTCCTTGCTCCTCGTCCCACCTCTCACCTCGCCACCACACACACACTGCTCACCATCATCCTCCCCGCACCTTCCTTGCATCGCCTTCACTCCTTCCCTTGCACCTTCCTTGGTCTGCCGCCACTCAACTGCCACTCTTTCCCCTCTCTGTGTCCCCCTTCTCCGCCCCGGTCGTCCCGGGCGCCCCTCTTTACATGCTGTGTGGGCATGGGCGGGGCGGGGGGCAGCTCGGATGTGGAGGAGGCGGTGGTGCTGGAGGAGAGGAGCCGCGGCACCAACAGACTGCGCGAGCAGGAGGTGTGGAGGGGGGAAGGGGAGGGGGAGGGAGGGGTTGGGGTGTGAGGGGACAGGGATGTGGGTTGGTTGGAGGCATGGCATTGCCGTCCAGTGCAGTTGTTGTCTCCCAGCAACGGATTGTTGAAGCAACCACGCTCATGGCTACTGCCACCGTTGCTGCACCGCTCATTCTTTTCTCGTGCTTGCTCTTGCTTCCGTCATCGCACCCTTCCCCCCACTCCCTCTCCTCCTCGCTTCCCCCCCCTTTTATCGTTCACTGTGCCACTCTCAATTCCACTCTGAACTTCCAATGAGCGAGAGTTGTTTTCCCGCATGTCCCCTCCCCGTCGCCCCACCAGGAGCGGGATGCCATGGTGGGAGCCATCAAGGGCAAGTTCTCCGTGAGTGCCCCGCTGCTCCCCCTTGCCCCCCGTCCCCCACGCCACCACCGTGCTCTTGGTTGTTCCACTCCGCCGCGCCCCGGCGCACTTGGCCATGCGCCATGCCATGCATGCTCTGCTGCCTGCCCTGTTTTCCATCACACTACTTCAACACGTACTCTTCTCCCCAACCCCTCATATCCCTGCTGCTGCCTCACTGCCTGCGCCTTCCATGTTACCCTGCCCCCTGCCCCCTGTCCCTTGCGCCCTGCCCCCTTCCTCCTTCCCCCTTCTCCCTTCCCCGGCTGTCCCTTCCCCCTTCTCCCTTCCCCCTTCCCCCTTCCCCCTTCCCCCTTCCCCCTTCCCCTTTCCCCCTTCCCCCTTCCCCCTTCCCCCTTCCCCCTGCCCCCTTCCCCCTTCCCGCTTCCCCCTTCCCCCTGCGCCCTGCCCCCTTCCCCCTGCACCCTGCCCTCTGCGCCCTGCCCACTACCCCCCATCCCCGGGGAGCAGAAGCTATGGGACCAGCTGCTGGCGCTGCCACCGGACGAGGAGCCGCTGTCGTCACGGGAGTACGGCACCATCTATGGTGAGATGCTGTGTGTGTGCGTAGTGGCCCATGGCATGGCCGTGCATGGGCAGCAGGAGCAAGGACGCCATGAGCACTGCCCACAGCAGCACCGCCTTCCCCAGCAGCATGTCACACTGGCGCCGTCACTTGCTGCACCCCCACCTCCATTCGCTTCGTCTGTCCGTCCCCGTGTGCTCCCTCTCTCACCACTTGTCATGACCTATCTCTTCTGTGGGATGGGACCCCCTTGCTTGTCCTCGTGCCATGCTCCTGCCTGTGTTGCTTTCACCATTGCACACTTCCTGCCCCCATGCCCCCATGCCCCACATCCCGTGCTCCTCGCCATCCTATCCTTCTCTTCCCTTGCCTCTCTTGCTCGTCCTCACCACACCACACCACTGCACACCTGTGTGGCATGGCAGCGATGATGGAGGACGAGGATGGCGTGGGGAGCTCTGGATTCATGGAGGTGCTACAGGACAAACTGCAGTCCAAGGTGGGCGGCACTGCATTCCAGAATGGGCAGCATTACCTTAGCATGAACGAGTGGATTCAACGAGCCATGTACACCTGCTGCTGCATGCCACCATGTGGAGGCTTACCTCCTCGCATCTTCTTCCCGTTCCCATGCTCACGCCCCTCCGCTTTCTCCCACGTTCACTCTCCTTACCAACTTCTCCCCACCTTCACTGCTGCGCTCCTCCCCCCTACACCCCTTCTCTCTGGCCCCTCCTCTCCCCTGTGCCCCTCTGCCCTCTTTGTGTGTGTGGCAGGCGTGGGGAGGCGAGCTCAAGGCGGACCTCTTTGTGGCTGTGCGCGAGCTGGTGAGGGCGTTGGACACTGCCTCTAGTGGTGCTGGGGAATGGGAGGCAGGGGGGAGGGGAGAAGAGGGTGGATAAGAGGGATGAGAAGGGACGGGCTGTGTGGCACATGAGTTGAAGCGTGGAGGCGAGTACTGAAGCAGTTTGCAACATCCCCCCTCCCCATGCTCACCTTGTGCCTCCCACTCACGCACTCGCTGCTTGCAACATTGCTACTCCCTCCCCTTCCCTATCTCCCCGAAGTCATCACTCCTCCCTCTTCCCCCCACCCCCCAGGTGGTGCTATCAATATCGCGGGCCGCCATGCGCAGTGACATGCAGTCGGTGCTGGCAGCGTTGGAGCTGGCGGGGGCGGTGCACCAGAGGGACGGCGCGGGCCACAAGGACACCGTGCTCCGCCACATCGGCGCCCTGCCCATCTGGAAGGACTTCCGGTGCTGCCCTGCCGCCCTGCTGCCCTCATGCGCTGCTGCCCCGCTGCACTGCTGCCCCGCTGCACTGCTGCCCCGCTGCCCTGCTGCCCCGCTGCCCTGCTGCCCCGCTGCCCTGCTGCCCTTGTTGCCCCTACCATGCCACTCACACCCTTCTCACACGCATTCACCCTGCAGCACAGGTCGTCGGCAGCAGCCCCTCATGTCTTTGTTGCTCGTTGCCTCTGTCCATCATCTCCCATGCGTGCCTTACTGAAGCCATCTGCTGCCTGCCTCTTGCCCAACTCGCACTCCCCTCCTGCCTCTCACATCCAGCACCACCTTTCATGGTTTGGCCTGTCATGGCACTCAGATCTCATGCTCTTTCCTCCCCATCCCACCTAATACCACCGCACTGCGGTGCGGTGGGCTGGCAGGTTCTGGAAGACGTATCACGACACACAGCTGGAAGTCAACCCCGACTTGTACGCGCGCCACTCACCCCCTCGCCCTCACCCACACCCTGCTCTCGCCACTTCCACCTTGCGCTGCTCTCGTCACTTCCACCTTGCCCTGCTCTCGCCACTTCCACCTTGCGCTGCTCTCGCCACTTCCACCTTGCCCTGCTCTCGCCACTTCCACCTTGCGCTGCTCTCGCCACTTCCACCTTGCCCTGCTCTCGCCACTTCCACCTTGCCCTGCTCTTGCCACTTCCACCTTGCGCTGCTCTCGCCACTTCCACCTTGCCCTGCTCTCGCCACTTCCACCTTGCGCTGCTCTCGCCACTTCCACATTGCCCTGCTCTCGCCACTTCCACCTTGCGCTGCTCTCGCCTCCCCCAAGCATCTTCTTACCACCGCCGGCCCTTTAGCCCTCCGCCCCTTTCTTCCTCTTCTCTTTTCGTCCCTGTCCTTGCCTCCCCTTCCCCCCCCTGTGCCTTCACATGCTCTTTCAACCACGCTACGCCCCACACGCTGTGCTGTGCGCATTGCATGCATCCCTGCATCCACTGCTGCTTGCATCTGTGTCTCTTGTGTGCGGGTTTGCATGTGTGCATATGTGGATGTCTGCATGCGTGCATATGGGTGCATGGTTGCGCGTGTGCGCATGTGTGCATACATGTGCGCATGTGTGCATACGTTTGCATGTGTGCATGTGTGCATGCTGTGTGTGTGTGTGTGTGTGTGTGTGTGTGTGTGTGTGTGTGTGTGTGTGTGTGTGTGTGTGTGTGTGTGTGTGTGTGTGTGTGCATGTCTGCATGCTTGCTTATGTGCATATGTGTGCATGTATGCGTGATTGCATATGTGTGCTGTGTGCATGAGTGCATGGTGGCATGTGCAACGGTGTATGTGCCCAAACCACACCGCACAGTGAGGGCAAGGTGGCGGATTTGGTGCAGCAGCTGCTGGGGGGACTCGCTCAAGTCATGGTCAGCGCCCTCCCCTCCCCTCCCCTCCCCTCCCCTCCCCTCCCCTCCCCTCCCCTCCCCTCCCCTCCCCTCCCCTCCCCTCCCCTCCCCTCCCCTTCCCTCCCCTTCCCTCCCCTCCCCTCCCCTCCCCTCCCCTTCCCTCCCCTCCCCTCCCATCCCCTCCTATCCCTACAGCTCCTCCCTCGCCCTCCCTCCTGCACTTTCCTCTCGCTTGTCTCATCGCCTCCTCCCATCTACGCTCTCACCTTGTCCCACCATCTCGCATCATGCCATCTCGCATCATGCCATCTCGCATCATGCCATCTCGCATCATGCCATCTCGCATCATGCCATCTCGCATCATGCCATCTCGCATCATGCCATCTCGCATCATGCCATCTAGCATCATGCCATCTCGCATCATGCCATCTCGCATCATGCCATCTCGCATCATGCCATCTCGCATCATGCCATCTCGCATCATGCCATCTCGCATCATGCCATCTCGCATCATGCCATCTCGCATCATGCCATCTCGCATCATGCCATCTCGCATCATGCCATCTCGCATCATGCCATCTCGCATCATGCCATCTCGCATCATGCCATCTCTCATCATGCCCATTCCTCAACTTGTTTCTTCCTCTCCCCTCCCAATTTCTCTCCCACGCCCCCTTCCTGCCCTACCTGTGCGAGGGCAGGCGGAGATGGGGCTGGTGGACGGGGACGCGTGGGCCATGCTTGAGGTGCTCTCCAGCCGCCTCAGCCTCAAACGCCAGGTGCGCTGCTGGCAGGGAAGAATGAAGGAATAAGGAGGATTGATGCCATGGAGTGCAACACAGGTGTACATAGGAGAGGGCAGTGGGATCACCCTCAGCCGGTCTCACAACCACTTCACGTCCATGCATCGGGATCAAGGGTTGCGTCTGCCATGGATATTGTACATCTCCCTCTTCTTTCCAACTCCACCCACGCCATCTCTCACCTCTTCCGCGTATACTCGCTCGCTCCCTCTCTCCACCTTCCCCTGCCGGCTCTCCCCTCGCCGTGCGTGCCTGCCAGATAGTGCTGCGAGGCCAGCTGGCGTTGCTGCAGCACGCGTGGCAGTACTACCCACTCTCGCCCACCTCGCCTCTCTTCTCCGCCACCTTCGCCCGCCACACCCACGCCACCCCGGGCACCGTTGAGGAGGGCGGCGGCGAGGGCGCGGGCGGCGGCGGGGCGGGCGGCGAGAGCCAGCTGACGACAGCACTGGGGACGGCGGCGGGGAGGTGGATGAGCACGCTGGGGAACCTGAACCTGGGCAACTTCCAGAAGCAGCAGGAGAAGTTGCTGCAGGGGGGCGGGGGGTCTCAGCGCATCGGAGGTGAGTTGTCAGGCAGGAGTGGGCGGGGGTGCTGGCGGGGCGGTGGATGAGCATGCTGGGGAACCTGAACCTGAACCTGAACCTGAACCTGGGCAACTTCCAGAAGCAGCAGCAGGATAAACTGCTGCAGGGCGGAGGGGGGTCCCAGCGCATTGGCGGTGCGTGATCGGGAGGTTGGAAGGGAGGGGGGAAGAGGGGAGGGCGGATGGGTGGTCTCTGGCAGGAGTGCTGTTTGTTCTCGCTACTGCTCGGAAATGGAGGGATCACTTGAGCATGTCTCAGCGCAGCGTTGCTGTGTGCCCACCTCTTGGCATCGCCCCACACTCCACATCCCCTCTCTGCGGTTTCCCCCACTTGGCATTCTCGTGCAGTGTTTGACTCGGAGGGCGGCAAAGAGCGGCCGGGGGTGACAGCATCCAAGTCGCTGCGCCACTCGCACGCGCAGGGGAGGGGCGCCACGGGGGTGCGCGTTCTCCGGGGCCACAAGCAGCCAATCACAGCGCTCCACGCGGGCACGCGCAGCGAGCTGGGCGATCTGCTGCCGGACGGCGAGGACGGTGCGGGGTACTTTGTGAGCGGCAGCTGTGATACGAGTGTAAAGCTGTGGGACCCCAGCACGCGGGGGGATGAGCTGCGCACCACCATGCACGGCCACACTGGGTGAGGCGCGGTGCTGCGTGGTGTGGCATGAAGAGCCAAGTGTGCACCGCTCCTCTCTGCACTGCTTCTGCAGCCAGCTTCCTCCTCCCATGCCACCCCCTCCACCTACCCTGCCTCCCATCCACCGCTCTCTCATCACTTTCTTTCTGCGCCCTCTTCCCCCCCTCCTCCTCCCTCCCAGCCCGGTGCGGTGTGTGGGGTCGGACGCCACGAGGGTGCTGTCAGGCGGCGACGACAAGCGCCTGCTCGTGTTTGACAAGGCCACCGCACGCATGCTGGCGGACCTGCGCGGCCACCACCAAAGTGTACGCACAGACTCACTCTTGAGGATTCCCACACCTGGCCCGCCCCGCCCCCCCGATGGGCGCTGTGGGGTGTGCAGTGAGAGCAGGGGGTTGAAGCATGGCGGGGGCAAGCAGGGCAGATGGTGGTGTATGGGGCCGCTTGGATGGTAGGGGTGGGTAGGGGTGAACAGGAGTGGGTAGGGTTGGCTGTGTGCTGCTGCTCGGTACTGCACTGTCTGTCTGCACCTCGTGCTCCTGGCACATGCACATGCACTCGCATCCCCACACTGGTCTTCTCCTAATTCACAATCCCACACTACTCTGTCCCACCCCTCCCCATGTCGCATCACTTCCCCTCCGGGTCCTTTCCTCCCCACGCTCCCCTGCAGATCATAGCGCTGCGCATGCTGCCGGGGCTGAACAAGGGCAGTGTGGTGACGGCGGGCAGGGAGGGGCAGGTGAACCTGTGGGACACGCGCACGGACCACATCGCCTCCACGCTCTTCACGTGCCCCTCGCCCCACATGATCCTCGCCCTTGACTACCTGGACCACGCTGGCATCCTCGTTGCCGCTGGCACCCAGGGGTGAGAGGGGGAGGTGGAGGAGGGGAGGGCGGATGGGATGGGTGAGGATGAGTGAGTAAGGACAGGGAGGATGGTGTGAGGGGGGGTGGATGGTGCTAGCAGAATGGGGGTTGGTGGATGACGGTGGGGGTTCGTGGATGACGGTGGTAGGGTGTGAAGGAGGGCATGAGGGGAGCAGGCAGATGTGGAACTAGCCTCCTTGCCGTTTTCCCCCTCGTTCTTATGTACCCTTCTGTGTTGCTCTCCCCTTGCTTCCTGCGTGGCAGCATCTGCTATGTGTGGGACGTGCGGGCAGGCAAGGAGCGGTTCCAACTAGAAGGCCACACCAACTGGGTCAGGTAGGTGGCACCTGGGTCAGGTGGGTGGCACCTGGGTCAGGCAGGTGTTTTGGGAAGATGTGCAAATTTTTATTCCAGATGTGGATCGGTCAATTCTGCATGGGATGTTGAATGAGGCCGCCGTGTCGTACACTTGCTCATCTCGCCCCCCTCCCAGCCTATAGCTCCATCCGCATGTCCTTTCCCACTCCTCAACCCGTCCAACCCCCATGCTCTTATGTACCCTTCACTGCCACCTCCTCTCCTCCCAACTCTTCAAACCACCTCCCCCCACCTCCTACACGCCCTCCTCGCCACACCGGTGCGATGCGGTGCAGGGCGGTGCGGGTGGCAGGGGACGTGGTGGTGACGGGCAGTGATGACTGGACGGCGAGGGTGTGGACGCTGAACGATGGCGAGTGTGAGGCGACGGTGGCATGCCATGCGGGGCCCGTCACCGCTGTGGACTACGTCACGGCGTCGCGCGGCTTCATCACCGGCTCGGCTGACTGCACCGTGCGCCTCTGGGACCGCGGCGATGGTGAGTGCACGGCACGGCATGGCGCAGGTACCGGTTCCAATGGGGGCAGAGGAGGCGAGGCGGGGTGCAAGGCGGGGATGTTGAGTTGCTCATGACTGATCCCACTTGCTCGCGTTCCTCACAAGCACACTCATCACGTCACTTACTCACTGAAGATGAGAAGGTGGTGACGTGAAGGCGCTGCATGTGAAGCCCTTGCTCCGCCTCACCCATGTCATCCACCCATGCCACCGCTCACCTCTCCCTCTTCCTCTTCTCTCCTGCCCTCGTGCGCACCTCCTTGCTTCCCTGCCCTGTGCTGCCCACAACAGGGGTGCAGCTGCGGTGTGTGAAGACACTCACGAACCACACGGCGCCCATAGTGGCAGCGCCCATGGTCAGCGGAGGACGACCCCCTTTCTCTGCTGCACCGCCCCTTCCACCACTCACCTCTCCCTTCTCTCCCTTTCCTCACTGCCCTGCCCTGTCCTGCACTGCCCATCACAGGGGTGCAGCCGCGGTGTGTGAAGACACTGACGAACCACACGGCGCCCATAGTGGCGGTGCGAGCCTCGGACCGCTACGTCACCATGGCAGCGGAGGACGACTCGCTCTCCCTGCTTCACCGCCCCTTCGCCGACCGCTCCTCCCCCTCGCTGGGGCCGCTGGGCGGGCCGGGCAGCATGAGCAACGGCGCGCGCGGCTACGTGGGCAGCGTGGGGGTGATGACGGACTGGCAGCTCGCCAGACACCTCAACCGCGCCCCCGACCTCGTGAGTGCTGCCCTCCCACATGTGCTGTGCCCTGCCATGTCTCCCGTGCGCCTGGGTGCTTTTTGCCGTGCCTCACCTCACCAAGCAGAGCAGTGGGGGCAAGCGGCACATGTGCTGCTGCGTGGCCGTGCATGCTCAAACACGCCCACGTGTCATGCGCCCTCACTCCACTACCATCTCCACCCATGTGTCGCGTCCCGTCATGTCGATTCTCAATATTGTTGTGCACTCAACGCAACCCCCCTGGTTGTTGTGCTGGATGCCCTCTGTGCTGTATGTGTGCGCTGCAGATCCGGCACGCGGCATGCGATGTGGACCGCGGGCGCATTTGCACGGGTGCTCGCTCGGGAGTGCTGCGCGTGTGGGAGCCACCCACCCCCCTCGCTTGACCCATCCACTCCACACCCACGCCTCTCACTAAAATCACCTTTTTCTGTGACCAATACGCCGATGCCTGTGGCTGGCCCCACTGCAAGCGTCGTGTGGCCAAGAGGTCGAGTTGAGCAGCAGCCCATCATCAAGGTCGTTCCATGCTGCCATCCATACAGCACCTCGCCGCCCCATCGCATGCCAGTCTATTCGCCGCACCTTCATGCTCCCACGGCTCTTTGAACGCGACACAATCACTGTAGTGCCAGCAGTCCCAATCCCAAGATTCCTCCTCTCGCCACCACATGCCCATCCTCGCAGCACACATGGGCCATCACTCCCCCCTGCCACTACCCCTTGGGCCTTACCCCTTCTTACTCCCACCATGCACCTGCCTCCAAGACCCATCCCGCTATACTATGCCGGATTACTTCCATGCCACAGTGCAGAGGGGTGGAATGTGGTCCTGCACTCTACTTGGGGATGCAGTGCAGTTCCTGAAGTCAAAAGTGCTGCATGTTCGAATCCCAGGGTCTGCTTGGTGAGCAAGGTGAATGCATCACTCAATGCAGGTACAATGTGCACCTCGTTTGCTTTGAGCAAGCTTGCGTGTGATGCAAGTGATATGGATCAGCACTAGGTTGCTGTAGATGTCTGTAGGCCTGCTCTAGCTTATTAGTCTGCTTGCAAATCACGCATTTGGCATGCTTCACGGGTTTGAAAAGTGTACAGGACAAAACCTGTGAGATACTGTATCCAACGGCAAGGATAGAAAACAGGGCTACATTGGTTCAGCCGTGAGTAGGGTAGGGTGTTAAATTACGGTAGTTGCTTATTGACTGAAGGTTTCACACCCCTGATTGCACAATATATACACAACTGAAAAAGATCAAGTGAACAACCACTTGAACCCGCACAGAAGAATGACAAGCCATCAAAGCTAGGCCTCCAAACACACCTCACCCTGCCTCCGTTGGACACAGACCCAAAGCGTGCCCTGTGCGTGCCATTGACATCAAAACCCACCCCCCACCACCCCCCATCAGCTCCTCATGAGCCCCTCATCAGCCAACCAGCACTCAGTCATCTCGCCCACCATCCTCCCCAGCCTGCCCCTGCCCTGCAGTGTGCAGCTTGGGGTGTACCACGTCCCTCAACCGCGCAAAGTCCACTCCCTGGAAGCGCGGGCGCGACTCAATGTACCTCGCCCCGTACGCAAAGCCAAAGCCCCACCCCATGCCCAAACCCACGCCACAGCCACCGCCTGGCAGGGGAGAGGGAGGTTGGGGGGGTTACTCAGACAAACGGAACAGTTATGCTCACGGAGAGAAGATGGAGTGGCATGCAAGAAGTAGAAGAAGCATAGATAGGAAGCAATGTGATTTAGAATGTGAATTAGCTTGCACATAGAATAGACTTCAAGTCTCTTGGTGCGCAGCCAATAAACCAATAGCCAAAAAACAAGACTAGTCCTGCCAGTTTACAAGGGACCTCTTAGAAAGTGAGAAAACAACATACCGATTCCCATGCCCAGCGAGTTTATCGGCGCGCCTGTGATGGCAGATGAGGATACAACATGGCAAACACCAGAGTGAGCTCAAGGGTACAGCAGCTGTCTCACAAGCGCATGCTGGAACGAACCAATGACTCACATCATCAATAGCATGCACATCAATTGTCACATAGTGGAGCAAACAGGAAGAATGCAGTCACATAGCAATGCGCATTCGAAACGAGAGGGCAATGCATGGTACAGCTGGAAAAGGGAAGAAACTCAGAGTCGATGGTGAAACCAGAAACATAGAGTAGCACGGACACAGCTAGAGAAGTCAGGGCTGGGACTGCTTACCTCCAAACCCCCAACCAACGCCAAAGCCACATCCAGCACCAAATCCTGCCACACACACGCACACACACAAAGCGGAGGGGAAGGTGGGGAGGGGGCGAAGGGGGGTGAGGGGGGAGAGGAGGGAGAGAGAGGGGATGGATGGATGGATAAGTATGAATAAATAAATTACTGGATAGATGGAATGATAGATAAATATGCAAACAGAGGGATGGAAGTATGGAGGGAGAGAGAGAGGGTGGGGTATAATGGTGCCACGAAGGAGCGGGAGGCAGACAAGAGATGACGAATCCACGCAGCCAGTGTAAGGAGCCAGGGGCGTGGAAACGGCAAAAAGAACGCAGGTATGCTACATGTACCAAAAAGCGGAAGGAGGAAGAGGGCAGGCACGCACGCACGCAAGCAGATGGGTGAGCAGCAAGCGGGAAACAAGTGGAACTTGGACAAGTGGGGTGACAAGCGGGAGATTGGACAGATATACAGGCATAGAAGGTGAAGTTAGGGACTTGCGTGTGCAGGCAGTGGAGTGACAGGTAGAACAAAAATGAGAATTAGTCAGCATCTGGCGGCAAACATGCAAATCAGCATTAAGTAACGTACCGAATCCCACTCCCCGACCCCCAAACACTCCCATCGTCATGCTGACGACAATGGCGAACAATTACGGAGTCAAGTGGTTATGTTTCTGGCGACGTCGAGTTGCGGCGGAGCGTTATGTGGATGTGTACTACTCCCACTCAAGGACGAAACGCTGATGCGAGTGCCTTCAGCTGGTGCGCCTGTCTGAAGCTAAAAAATTCGCAGTTTCCGCGGACAGTCACATGCAGGCGGCCTTCGTACATGCAAGCGAATATTCTAAAATTTGTCGTTTCTGAAAAAAATGTCTCAAGGTTCGTCGGTATCAGGAAAGCATCCGTATCAGCTTTATGCTAATCAACCTTGGAATCGGGCATGTTGCTGCGCTGCTCAGCAGCATATGGAAAATCTTCAAACCTAGTCTTTCGCTATTTGAATTACCTACAAAGGTGTTGTTGGGGGTGCGCAACATTGACAAACCAGTTATGGCCAACATTGCGCAACATAGAGAAACTGCACAACAGCACACCGGTACATGGGATTGTCTATGTTGCCCACCCCCAACACCTTTTGGACAGAGATTGCATTTTTCTTTAGGTCTTCAATTTTAGAGAATGAAAAAGAGTATAGACCATGCCCGCAATGAAATCGCAATTATTCGTATGGAACAAACAATCTTGACACAGTGCATGGCTGCTCAACCTTATTCACATTGCTGAGTAAGATATGGTGGCAGGCAACCATTCAACCAGTCTAGGTGACTGGCCTTATTAGAGATGTGGGGATGACGAATGGCAACTGCTCTGCGCCAACAACTGGTGAGTTGTTCAGCGCATTGAAGGTGGCAAGAGGGAGCACCATTCAGCTTTCATATCACCATCGCTGAGTGGGCCTGTTCCCACCTGGTATGGCTTGGCATGTTCCATCATCTCGCTTGAGAACAGAGACCTGGAGTGGCAAACAATGTTAAGATTGCAATCAGAAGACCGAAGAGGACATGCTGACAGACGTAGAGAAACTCACTTCTTGACACTGCCATGCTCCAAACTTTGCCATTTATCAGTCACTCCCTTTGGCGTGTATGTAGGGCTTGGGGTACCAGGAGACTGTGGAGATGATGGGGTCGTCGAATCAGCTATAGCTTTCATAGTGCCATGCCCCGTCTTGGCCTTGATACCACTGGCATGAAGCATCCTTTCGAATGACCCATCCTTCTCCAGCTTTGGCAGGGAATGCAGAGGCTGATCTTCTGGAACGGGAGTCAGGCCATCACGTATCGTAGAGTCGTCACACTCTTGGCACCCATCACCTTCTTCAACCACGCTCGGAAGCGCCTTGGACTTATTGCTGACAGAGCCAGCAACACAACCTGCTTGCACACCGGTGGCGACCCCAACTGCGGGAGCTTGCTTTTGAGGCGCCTTACTGTAGTAGACAGAATCTGGGCAGCTCTTCGCAAGCATGTTCTTCACTGGTACTGCTGGCACATGCGATGGATGGTGAACTGGATGCTTTGTTGACGTGTTAGCGGAGATCAATATAGGAGGACTAACAGCCTCAGTGGACGTGGGAAGATGCTTCAAGATCCAAGGGTGAGACAGAAGATCCTCAGCTGATGGTCGATGACGGGGGTCCTTCTGAAGAGTCTGCTCAAGGGGAGTATATGAGTTGAGCTCATCATAAAACAGGAAAATTGCATCCCTTTCCTACCTGCTTGATAAAATCCGCAAGCTCTGGTGAAACACGATGAGGCCAGACTCCAGCAATTGGAACGGCAGCTCTCTGAATCAAATCCTTGGTAAGGCTTCCATTCTTGCCAGCATTGAAGGGTGGCTCTCCTGTTACGACCTCATACGCCAACACGCCACATGCCCTACGAGAAATAAGGAAGTGTAAATGATACTTCCTTTCTTCTCTAGTTCAGAAAAACACTATGCATCTTACCATATGTCAACCTTCTCGTCGTAAAGTGCTTGCCTCCTTCCACTAGTTTCCCCCGGCCTTCTGAAGACTTCTGGGGCCATATAATCCAGAGTACCTAGCTGCGACATCGGTGGCTCCAGTCGTTGGTTGATAGCGAGCCCGAAGTCCCCAAGCTTCGCAATACTCTTGGACATGAAAAGATTCTCTGGCTTTATGTCTCGGTGAACGATTCCTTTTCCATGAAGAAGCTGAAGCGCTTGCAACAGAGGGAGCAAAACCTGCAAGAACTTTCCAGTCAATGACAGCTCTTCAGCAATGACTGAAGTAGTCAACGGGTTACCGTTTGTACAGCTCGCTCCTCATTCAAGCGACGAACACCCCGGGGACCATTTAAAAACTCCATCAAATCCCCTTGAGAGCACAGCTCCATCACAATGTACACATACTTCAAATCTTCAAAAGATCCATAAAGCTGGCAGATCGCCTCATGCCTAAAAGCAATGACGTTAACGAAAAATGAAGATTAACTTTTCAGACGAGCATAAGACCTAGTAGCCTTACCTCAATCCCTTAATAAGAGATGCCTCCCTTCGGATGTGAACAATTGTACCCTCGTTAATCTGGCTTCTTTCGTAAGCCTTAATAGCAACTCGTTGGTAAACGTTGGTAGCAATG